AAGGAGAATGGATTGTAACATGGATTTTAGTCCCATGTTTTTATATTTATATTGGCTAATTGCATTGCTTATTTTACCTATTGGTTCAATTTGGACTACTTCATGATTAACAGATGTGTTAACAAAAAACTTACATGCTCCTAGCGAGGCTTCGTCGATCGATTCTCGACTATGAGTATCGCTCGACTTGTGGTGAACAGTATCGCTCGACTTGTGGTGAACAGTATCGATCGACATCGGATGAATGCTGTCGATCGATATCAGATGAACAGGGTCGAACGACATTAGGTGAACAGTACTCTGATGAATAGTGTTTGGATGAATAGTAACCAGGTGAACAGTAGCGTGATGAACAGTACCGGTGTGAATAGTAGCATAATGAACAGTAGCCGGATGAACAGTGTTCAGGTGAAAAGTGTTGCTTGTAGGTTGGTTGGCTCTATCGATCACTGCTGCTTGTAGCTTATCGATCGATTGATGGTGTGTCTTATCGATCGATGTCTGGTGTACGCTGTCGATCGATTCTGCTTGGAGGGTGTCGATCGATACATCCCTCGTAGACTTACGGATCTTGTGTGGACCAGAAGGCTCCTTCCTTGAAGGAACTAGAAATCCTCTCTTCATTGTTCCTGGTACTGAGATGTATGTACCTGAAAAAGAAGAAAAAATTTATCAGTATTTTAGAACAGTAACAAAACCTAGACTAAATCTAACTAAACAAGATCTAATGGCGATCAAAGCTCCCCGGCAACGGGGCCAAATTTGATATCACTCAAATTACCCTAAGGAGTGAACTACTCTCTCAAATAAGAGGTTCAATTGTAGTACTTAGGGATCGAATCCACAGGGAGCTAGGGAACCTAATAGATCTAATAGTTATGTGATTAAGCTAGGCTACTAGGTAATAATGAAGTAAATAAATTAGTAAACTAGAAAGCAGTAAACAAGATGAACAAGGTAATTATTCAGCTTGGCAAGGATTTGTTTGATGGAAGGATGGTTGCTAGATCAAGGGTTTCTATTCAGGTAATCAGGATTATAATGCTATAGATGCCTAACAAGTTGCATGCATGATATTAAAGAGCTTCAACTCTTAGATAAGTCTATTAGCTGTCGCTATCTAGACTCGTCCATGAATCTGATGCCGACAATATCCATCGATATTGCTGTCGCAACATCGATCAATATATACTTGTCGTCGATCGATTACTCTATAGGAGAATCGATCGATATAGCTTCAGATCGAGTTGAAATAGTTCCCACCAAGATCATAGACCGGCTCTCACGTATCCCTAGAGGATCTTAGCTTATACATGATGATATCAGAATGATGATTAATGAATTAATGCCATCATGTTCATGGTTCTAGTTCATGACTCTAGAATCAAGCATTAGGATTCATCATGATAATGAATATCAAAGCTTAGCAATCTATAGTAGGGGCTAATCCCACAACCTATCTGAACCCGAAATCCAACAGGTGGATCTATTCAGACATGAAGATTGTCACAGAAATCATAGATGAATAGATAAGAAATTGCAATAGATATAAAAACGAAAACCAATGGAGTTCCAGGAGGACTCTGATATGAGTTCATCCCTTCTCTCCTAACTAAGAGAAACAATGAATCAAAGAAAGCTTTGATAGCGTAGCCGTCAACAATGGCTTGCAAATAACATAAATAGGATTTCAAGTCGTCAAGGGTATTTTGGTAACTTTGTTGTATCTTCTGAGTTTCAGTTTGTCATGAAATATAGTCAGTCCATGTTCTGGCATTCATATCGATCGATGTGAAGTGTCTCCCATCGATCGACATGCACATATCTTCTCGGCAGCACTCTCTTGCGAGACAGACTGACCACTTTTCAGTAAAACAGGCATAACTTCTGATCTAACCGTTAAATTGACCTCAAACCGGTGGCATTGGAAATCTAACTCAAAGCTCTATCGTGTGTCAAAATATGGGCTCAATATCACCGTAGGAAGATCTCCATCTATATCTAAACATCTGACGCGTCTGCGCTGTTCTGCACTTAGAGGCTCCCAAAGATACCAAAATCACCACTTTACTCCATATTGTACCTAAACCTGTAAATACTCTAAATAGACTCTATATTGTAGTAAATATATATGAAAACACCTATAGACCATGGCTAAAAATGGGTAAAATCCATGGTAGATCACATTCAAACAGTGCAAGTCAAGAACGACGTCGGGAGAGAGTAGTATTCCGACTACATGGCACAAAGTAAAAAATGTTGAAGTGTTTTGTATTTGTCTAAAAATATCCAGTAACTGATCTTTCTTCTCCAATATGTACTACTAGTGGTCGGTCTGCGCTTCGAACGAAATGGCTTTAACAATTTGGTTAAATTGTTTATATGAAACTCTATGTCAAAGGATATTGTTATATACATGTTCGTTTTGTTTAGAATGTTATGGTCACTGAATTTAGGGGTGTTTAATCTAATAAAACCGAACCAATTAAAAGCGAAATGAACAGAAATCAAAAAAAAAGTGGTGTAAATTTGGCAATAACAAATAAAACCGATCATACCGAATAAAATGATTAATTACAAAATATTAGTATATTTATATGCAAATTTTATAATAATATTATTAATATATACGTGATTTAATTATTAATAAGTTGTTCATATTTAAAGAAAATATTTTCTTTTTTTATTTTTATTTTTTCTAAGTTATAAAAATCTCAGTTTCATCAAATTAAATATAATATATTCTATTAGTAAATATTTGTGCTGAAATATAGTTATTTAATAATATTATTATATGAATTTTTTTAATAGTAAACATACAAAGATAAGATATTCTATTTGAAAATTAGAGTAAGGAATATATATTATTTTTAGTAAATCTGATTTATAGTCATATAAATTAATATTTGTTATAAAAAATAAATATAGTTATGGTTTTACTATAAAACCGAATAAACCAAAAAATCATGAGTATATAAACCAACTCAAACCCAAGTAAATATGATATTAATATGGTACTTAATTTTTATAAACTGAAATACCAAAAGATCAAAAAATACACCAAACAGACATCCAAATTGAACTCCCCTAATTGAATTTGACTAATCGTGATTATCTGTTGTTTTGATTGTTTGTTACATGTTTTATGATCTATTGTATTAATTGTTTGAATATTTATATATATGTTTTTATCTATCCTCCCTAGTTGTGTTGATTGTTTTATAAATGTTATAAGTCGTCGGACGTCGGCATCAGCATCAGCATTAAGCTTGTGGTTGTTGTTTTTTTTTGGTAAGATCAGGGATCTTTCTAGACATTGTAATTACATTTAGAGAATGGATTTACTGAGAATATTGTTGCTAAACTGAATAGATTTATTAAAATCACATGTAATCAATTTCCGATTACTTGACTTGCCGCTTCTAATGCTTCCTGGAATTATTAAGGCAGAGATGATCTTGTTAGCTAAGGTATGGTATAGAGGTCTACAAATGCGGTCTGACGTGTTCTCACAATGCATGTTCGAATATATGACTCAATGGTGTTTAAAATTGTAAATGTTTAGCTGAGTGGGGGAAACATATTGTTGTAGTAGGTTTGTTAAGGATGTCTTTGCGCAGACAATCTTACATGGTTTTCTGCAGACTCCTTTCTTGACAATTCCTTAGCATTTTATTTTGTTAAAGAGTGGGCAACAACCGACAACATAAATAATTTTATTCATCAGGATAATTTGTCTACTTTGAACACAACAATAGACTAAATCATACCACAATTACTGAATTCCAAGGCCTCTCAATCTAATCCCTAGATTCAACATATTTTATTTTCTCCCATATAGTCAAAATGGCTTCAGTTCCACTCATTTTTACCATCTACTTCTCTGGTAGAACAGAATATTTTGTTTGCTAACATTCTGAAAATGCATAGATGAATGATTTGAGAAAAGATGAGAACCTTATCTTGAAAACTATTATTGTAAGATGTTTACATAAAAGTACTTGAAACATTGAGTTGTAACAATAGATAAGCAATTTTGTACGTCAAGTCTGATTCTATTTCCTAAGAATGCAAGGCAAAAATAAGAAAATATTAGAGATAAGGATATTGCTGCTTCTTGGCATGTAGCACATGTTGTCAAATTGATATGTACTTCCCCAGAAGGATTCAAGAGAAAGTTTTGAGTTTTTCACCTCTTGCTCAAGCGTGATTAGTTCAGTTCATGCGAAGGAAATACAGAATCATTGAAAACAACATAAACACATCTCTGGATATTCTTAACTACCCCCACAGCAACTCTGAATTGTAGATCGAGGACATAATCAATTCTCTAGATTAATCTTGACGGGAAAAGAAAATGAGTTAAAAATCCAGAGAGCCTCACTTTCCAAAACAAACCGTCAAGAATATAGAAACAAAGTGATCCATCATTATTCAACTCAAATTCCGCCCTTCCTATAATTTTATGTTAGTACTTTAAGCAACATGTGTGTGCATCTATCATGCATGAAAAAAAATTCTTGCTAGAGATATCCGTCTCTCACTTCTCTCCAGGGTCTTCTTCGGTCTCCGGTGTTTCTCGTCAGCCCGTGAGAAGACCTCCTCTTGGTTCCTAATTGTTGTTTCTGAGCTTTAACAACAGGAGGAGTGCACAAAGGTAAGTCTGGAGACACCCTCCTTCTCGGACGTGTTGAGTTGTTGTTCTCAAGCGTGGCGGTTGTTCTTGGTGCTCAGCCCCTCGGTCACTCTTTTATGGTTTTATTATGTCTGTGCTTGTGGACAGAGGAGAAGACTCATCATATATTGGTTTCCATAATCGATGTAGAACACTTCAAATTTACATCTCAATAGCTCATCGTGGTGCATTCACAATCTGAAAATAGGTATCAATCAAAAGAATAAATTGAAGCAAAACAAAGCAGAGAAACTAAGAAGGTGTACTGGAAATTACCATTCCACGGTTCTAGAAGTTGTCAAGGATAAACTGTGCAAGAACGATGTCACCCCTCTTTAGCAAACATAGATGCAAGACGGTTCTGAATCAAAGCTAGTTTTTGGTCTCCGACCGACTGAACAAAGAAGCGACCACCTCCAAGTACCTCTGTGACAGCAACCTATTATCATACACAATGAAAGGAAACTTGAATGGATCTCTACTTATTGTATACAAAAAAAAAATCTCTGAGTAGTGCCAAAGATATATTCACAAAGGTCTTTCCTTTTGTGTGGTTTCTACGGTTGTACTTCCTTTTGATACTTCTTGTCTTCAAACATAATTTTCCCAATTCCGTAAAAGATCACAAAACGTTTAGCAAGTAACGCTTTGAAACAAAGGATTAGCTTTTACTAAAGATATTTGTTTTGCTTGTCACCTTCAGTTTCTGGTTTGTAGCAGATCTTTGTACCTGTTCAAGTATATGTGCTTCAACTCCCACATTGATCAGAAGAACGTACGGATTCAATCCTTGGTTTCAACTTTAATCCATATTAGGTTATAACAGAGTACTTTAACAAACCATAGAGAAGAATCAAAAACTGAGGTGTAAGCTTAGCATTGACACCTATCCACTGGCACCACGTGATAGTCAATATATATGAGATACTTTAGAAATGTAATTATAGATAGTGGTAAAAACAGGTTGGTTATTAGACTGACCACTATTTGAGCAGCCTCAGAAGCTTGAATTAGTGTTAGCTTAGCAACTTCCGTATCAAAACCAAGAAACAAAGCTGTGTCACTGGCGTCTGACACACAGAGTATCACCCGGTACCTTTGTGGGAACGGAAAGGAAGCTTCAGTTTTTCGAAATCTAACAACGTAAAGAAGAAGTTCAAAGTAGCTACCTGAGCTCCGCTACAAGATTACTTTCATTGCAGTGTACACATGTGAAGGAATTTTCCTCTCGGATAAGTTTCTTGGAACATTTGGAACAGCCGATATGGCACCAGCCCTCATCTTTCTGAATCTCTGTAACTTTGGCCGTACAGAGGAATTCAATAATCTGCAAAGGTTTGAAGGCAAATGAAATAAAAATATCATCTAAAAGGGTATGTAGGGATGCGTTGTAAGGTTGAAAAAACTTCACCATCCTAGGGTCCAGTATGTTGTCAATTGGGTAAATGGTTACCTGAGGTTCAGCTGTGATAACAAACTGCTTTAACTCAGAAACGGTAAGAGGTTCAATCTTCTGAGTGAACCACCTTCGATGGAGACCCAGACTGGTTTGACACACCACCTGGTAGAATGGAAGCAGATAACGAAAAGGAATGAAATGTTTAAATAGGAGGAAAAACCAAATCAGCAAAAGTGGAAACGATTAACCAGATATCTAATTCGCATAATCTAACAAGAAAATACACATGAGAAGATAATAAGAAAGCTCGCCTATCAAACAAATCTTTTCCTGCAACTGTCTCAGAGTCAAAGTAAAAATGAGTGGCGGAAGTCCCATTCAAGTATAAGTTCCATGTGGAAATAAACATTTTTTAGTAATAAAAAGGATGAAAAAAAAAAACAAAATTTGCCTCTCAATGCAAATGCAGTGACAATAAATGAATTGCTAACCAGAAACTATTTTCGGATTGACGCTTGTGACAAGAACAACCCTGGGCTTTCTCCCGAAGCTTTCCAAACGACTATGGAATGCAAGAGCCTGAGAGTCAAACATACTTACACAAACGTTCACGTCTCTGCCAAAAAAAAAACAAAGGCTTATTAACTCGATTATTATTAATGTCTATCCAATGGAGTAAACAGAAACCAAACCATCTTTCAAGCGTTAAAGTGAGCATAACACGTTGTGCCCCTGGTATACGATCAGTGATCGTGCTCCTAATTTCTCTGAGCTCACCCAAAATATCCATTTTAACGGAAAAAAAATCATGTTAAACTAAACATTCAGACAAAAGTAAAATATATAATCTTACAATATTTACCTGGGAGTTCTTTGCCGGTGTTGCCTAACGCAAGTATGGTTTTGTAGGATGGAAATCGGAAGAGCTCGGTTGGTATGGTTCGGGCTGTGGTTTCAATCTTCTCAAAGAAAGTCCCATCATTGAACCGTATGGAGAGAGTCGCATCAGATAACCGGTATTTTGGGTTGCTGCGCATGACATCAAACTCAGTTAGGCTGTACAGAGAACCTTCTTTGAGGGACTGCTGGAATCTCATCTGTCGATCGGCAGCAATAGAAGCTTGCATCAGTGTCGCCTATTTGTCCATTTAAAAAAAAAAACCTTCAGTCAATTTTTCTGAAAAAAAAAACTACAGAAAGAATCAATGAGCGTGGGAACAAATATTCGGAAGCTTCGATTAAGGAAAGCGTTAGAGTTAAATGGGAAACAAATATTGGAAGCAATAAAATCAAAAAAAAAAATACAGAAACAATCATAGAGAGTGAGTAACAAATATTCGAAAGCTTCGATTAAGGAAAGCTTTAGAGTTAAATCGAAAACGAATATTGAAATCATTAAAATCACCGACTACTAAGTGTATCGTTAATTTTAAAATAAGTTGGTATATAATTTCCAGAAACAAATCTCTAAACCTTTCACAGATAAAAAAACAACCTCCTATGAGGAACATATTGTAGAGATCACCGGACCGTCCGCTGTTCCTGCTGGTGTTTCTCGCCTCCCAAAAACGCAGAAGCCGGACCTCCGCTGTGTTCGAGCAACGACCGGCATTCAAATCAGCAAGGAGTGTGTAGGAGTTTGCCATGGCGGGAATCGTTTGCTTCTTTTTTTCTTCGAGAGCGTTTGGAATGAGGCCGACATCGCTGGATACAGAGGTATTTATACTCAACCTACAAACAGTTCCTGGGAGAGTCGAAGAGATGAAGATAATGGGTCTAACTGTGCTTAATGATCAACAGGTGAGAGTTAATAAGACATTAATGGGAAAGGAAGCGGTTACGTTAGTCCAGAACTTTGTTCCTGCGGCACTATGGAGGAGAAGGCTCCTGGCAATCGAAGAGAAAACACAATGAAATCCTAATAAATAATGGGCCTCCAACACACATTAAACCCAGCCCAACATCAATCAGAAAACCGAGCAAGACAAACAACTTTAAACCGAGACGGGGGAGCTTCAATTTGGTCGGTCTAATTTTAGTAGGTGAATGCTGACATGGCTTTTTTGCCCCCTTCACAAATACTGATGTGGATGCATGAGAAGGAGATAACTCAACTTTATTGTACAAGATTTCATGCAACGAAAAAAAAAGGAAAATATTGTTCAAAATCATATCAAGACCCAATATACACTGGTTTTAATCATAGATTGCGTCTCTATATATATATGGCCATACGCTCATCTCTACAATATATACATTAAACCTCACGTGTACTATTGACTCAATTAGTCCATGAATGCATTCTCATACTTACGTGGATACTGATCCTCGTTTATATCTTTAAACTCAAGTGCTATCTTACTTTGTATGAGATATCTTGTATGTAAACATATCATTGGTGTTAACACTCTCATATAGTTCCTTTGTGTTCCAGACATGATCTACATGATTTTGAGATCTTATTATCCAGGACCATCATAAACTTGCAGCTTGGCATGTAACGAAAATCACTATAATGTATATGTGAAGTAAGAAAGTATACATGGAAAAATATGACTATAAATTACACTTAATGTACATTTAAAGCGGAAAAAGAATATGATGAAGAATCAATCAAATATAACAATAACATATGGTACTCTTTTTCTATTTCTTTTTCATTAATGTTTCTCTAAATATGATTGATTGTTGAACATCTTGAAGTCGACCATGACATTTCTTGACTACAAAGAATTAATTAAACGATAGTGAAAATATTCTACCTGATTTGGAATCAAACTTTTTTATTTACTCTCTTGGTCAGATTCAGTTTCATTGACCTTCAGTGTTTCTCATATGAAACCGTGTAATCTGTCTATAAAATAAAGTTAGTACATTGCAGAAATAGAACAGGCGAAGTCAAAATCAGATCAAGAAATATTTAATTAACTATTCAAAACTTAACTCTACTTTTTCCATTGACACAATAACTTTTGATCTCTGTTAACATCACACCATATCAACTAGCCCTTTGTTCAATCTAGGGATGTTTAAACGGGCTAGAAGCCCGCAGGCTTAACGGGCGGATTGTAAACGGGCTGAGCCCGTACCCGTTTAATTATAGATCAAATTATAATGGGTTCTTATAGGGTCGACCCGTTAAGAATGTTTATTAAACGGGTTTACCCGCGAATAAAAGGGTGCCCGTTTAAGTTTTTTTTTCCAGAGCATAGAAATGGCGTCGTAAGGCTTAGGGTTTTCTTTTGAAACTACTCAACGAAAGTTGTCGACTTCACTTCTCTCTTCTCAATTTCTCTCCTCCAAGGCTCCAATTCACAGAACACCACCACGAGCGCTCTCTCCTCCGACGCAGACCACCACGAGCTCTCTCCTCCGACGCAGACCACCACGAGCTCTCTCCTCCGACGCAGACCACCACCACGAGCTCTCTCCTCCGACGCAGACCACCACCACGAGCTCTCTCCTCCGATTTACAGTCTCACAAACCAACACCACGAACTCTTCTCGATCTCTCTACTTGATTCAGTGTAACTTTTAAACAAATTAGTGGGGGTTGAAAGTTATGGCAAGGAAAGAGGTCAGTGTAACCATTGTGGTAAAAAGCTAGTGATTAATACTAGAACACATGGAACAAATCACTTGAGTCTCCACTTAGATTCTTGTCCAGAAATGCCCAAACCAGTAGTTAGGCCTACATATGATCATAAGATTGATAGGGAGATGACTAGCGAGATCATAATCTTTCATGATTTGCCACTCAGATATGCTGAGTATGAAAAAGTTAGAGCAAGAAGCTTATGCCTCAATCCCGATAGTCAGCCTATCTATAGACAAACTGCTGCTGCTGATGTGTATAGAAGGTATGAAATAGACAAGGAAAAGCTTAGAGATGTGTTTGTAAAGCATCAGGGCAGAGTTTCTTTTACTTCAGATTTATGGCTAGCTCGTCCCACTACCATGGGTTATCTGTGTCTTACTGCCTCTTTCATAGATGATAACTGGAAATTACATAGTAAGATTTTAGCCTTTTGTGCTCTAGAGTGTCCACACACTGGTGAAGCGATTGCTAGTACAATTCTTGGGTGTTTGAAGGAATGGGGTTTGGAGAAAAAAGTGTTTTGTATCACTTTGGATAATGCTAGTAACAATGGTAGTATGCAGAGAATTCTTAAAGGGCAGCTTCAGATGATGAGTGGTAGTGGTTTAATGTGTTATGGGAAGTTTATGCATGTGAGATGTTGTGCCCATATACTGAATCTGATAGTGAAAGAAGGTTTGGAGCTAGCGAAGGATCTCTTGCATGACATTAGAGAAAGTGTCAGATATGTAAAAGCTTCTCAGCAACGAATACAATCTTTTGCAGCTTGTGTTGAGAGAGTTGGAATCAAGGATGGAGCAGGTTTATCCCTTGATGTCTCGACTAGATGGAATTCAACATACCATATGCTTGTCCGAGCATTGAGGTTTAGAGAAGCTTTTGAAAGCATGGCATGTTTTGACACACATTATAAGTCACTACCTTCAGAGGCTGCCTGGAACCGAGGGACAAAGATATGTGAGCTGTTGATGCCTTTTAGTAAGATTACTACATTCTTCTCAGGTTCAAAGTACCCTACATCTAACTTGTATTTCACTGAAGTGTGGAGGATAGAAAGGTTGTTGAAGAAATTTGCTAGATGTGATGATGATGGAATAAGAGAAATGGTTCATCAAATGCAAGATAAGTTTGATAAGTACTGGGAGGATTACAATATGATTTTGGCGATGGGAGCTGTCTTGGATCCGAGATTGGAAATTGAGGTTCTTGAGAAAGCTTATGAAGCTTTAGATCCCACTACTTCTGCCTTAAAGATTCAACAACTTAAGGATAACTTAGAGTTGCTCTACAATGACTATCAGGCCAGAAAACTGGCAAGCTCCTCAGGTTTCTCAGCTACACAAACTCCATTTGAGATAGTCAATGAATCTCCACTTGAAGAAGAGTTTGACAATGTAAGCATAGTATAAATAAAAATTTATAAGCATATTATTTATTGATAAACTAATAAGAATTTTCATTTTATAGGATATTTTTTAGTTAGAAAAAAGCATAGCAGCTGGTGTGGGAAACCCTAAGACACATTTGGAGATCTATTTGGAGGAGCCAAGAGTAGACAGAAAAGCTTTTCCAGACTTGGATGATTTGGGTTACTGGAAGGACAATCATCATCGAGTTAGTGATTTAGCTGATATGGCGCGAGATTTGCTCACCATCCTGATCACTACAGTTGCCTCTGAGTCGACCTTTAGCATTGGAGGTAGAGTTTTGACTCCATACCGAAACCGGCTGCTTCCAGAAAACGTTCAAGCTTTGCTTTGTGCACGCAATTGGCTTCGAGGATATGCAGAATTTCAAGGTGATTTAAGAAAAAATTGCAAGAACAGTTTTATAGTTAAATGATGATTCTTTGACTAACTTGCATTTTTAAATTATAGGTACCATTGAAGATAGTGATGACACTGGCATTAGAGATGTTGGAAAAACAACAAGTAATTCACGAGCAGAAAGTTCAAGGTCAGGAGAATCAAACATGCAATGAGAATGAGCATGAGTGAAAAGGTAACCTTGACTATTAATTAGTTGCTTTTTTGAATAGAGTTTGATTTAGATTTTTTGTGTGTTTGTATCTTGACTGTTAGTAGAAAATGAGCCTAAACTGATAGTTTGATTCCACTATCTTCTCCATCCACATGTAAAATAAATAAACTGATTTACATGAGTAGGATGTGTCTTAAATTCTGAATTTAACAATATTCCTTGGCTTCTTGGGTTTAAAGTTTCATGTATTTTCTGATTGTATTGAGAGATATAGCTCTGTTTGGAACCAAACTCATGTTAGGTTCGGAACTGAAACAATCACAATATCATGTCGAGACTCCATTTCTCATTATCAAATAGGCTTAAACACAAATCTCTTGAAATCCTGAGTTTATTACACCCTATGTCATTTGATTCATAAGCTAATACACAAGATCTATACTATTAAAAGAGAAGGAGTCTAAATAAATCTACTTAAAAAAGTTGTTTGGACCCATTAGACTAACATTTTTAGTATTTCCTTATATTTCTCTAACTATATAAATACTTTACAATTTAAATAAACTCATTTATTACTTTCCATAATCTATTATAAAATTTCTCTAACAATAAATATTCATGATATTATAACTATGACACTTTAGTTTAGTTAATTATATGCAATCAATTATTAAATTTTGATATTACATTCTTACAAAAGAACTAAATGATTAATTTTATGATATATAAAAATTAAATTGGTCTAGACATTATAAGTTGGAGATTCAAACGAAATTGGTCAAAAATTAATTTAAAGAAGATATGTTTATTTATTTTACATGATATATTTTTATTTAATTTTAAATGTAAACTAACCTACTATTTAAATATCAGATAGGTTGAATATTTTTGATAAAAATATTCAGGTAATTCATTGATTTGTCTAATTTGGTTAAAAA